ACATGTTAGTAAGACAGCGTATTACTACTGTGTGGATTTCGACCTGGCTGGAATATTGAGAAAGCCCGTCTTCCTTCAGCAGGACATGGTCAATGTTACCATCCCGCTCTGCTCACCAATCCAGTATTCTCAACCCTTAAATGGTAACTTCATCTTAATCCACTAGTTCATACGCCAAGCAAAAGGTCATCGAGGGATGCTTACATGACAGGGTTACTGCCCTCATATCTCGTCCGTGCATCTTACGCGAGATATTGCCCTTCTTTGTGTGAAGATCAACCCTAAGTACCCTCAGTGACCGCGCCTTGCATAACACAATAACTAGTTAGTGGCATAATATGGGTGGTGGCTGGAGTTCAAGTCAGGCCGTGGCGATAACACCATCGTTTGTCGGTGTGGTGAGACCGTTTAGTCACAATCACGCCCTTGATAACTAACACCCTTGATAGTACAAAGTAAGTAGTACCCTTGAGATAATGAATCATTCACTTCTGTGATGTTGTACTCCTCCCTACCTTACGCAAACCAGTGCTGTCATTCCTTATTTAGTAAGATCACTGCTGGCATATGCACTGCAAGGTCAGAACAAGTCAGATTGTCTGCTGCAGTGTGAAGTGTGAACTGGCTATATTTGGGTCCATCTCGGCCCGCGCAGGAGAATACTATGGGGCGGGTAGAGTGGATATCTGCCGCGACGGGAAGAACAGAGATCGCTACACTACCAGGGAAGAAAAGACAGCGATCAGCGAGGGAAGTAGAGTAGTATAATGTGATTAAAATATGAATGAATATTTTTATTGTTTGAAATATATTATTGATCATAAATACAGTTCAAGTGTTCACTGTGAACAAGGAAGTAAAGGGATGCCCCTGTCTTACTTGTATATTGACTAGCCGTGTCGGGAAATCATCCCCGTCCCGATGCAAAAGTCGCAAACGCGTCAGCTCACGTCACGTGCGCACAGCCTCCCCTCGATGCCCCCAATCCAATCCAATTCATCCATTCTATTCCATCCTATTCATCCGTTCAATGCTGCCTCTCAATTGCCCTTTTGCTCTCCATTCTTCTTCCTGCTGCTTCAGCTCCTCCCACGCGGATCCCTCCAACTGATGACACCCCCCGTGCCATCGGATCCCTCACTCTCCAGTTTCTCTCTCCATCTGGCCCACTGTATTGGAGTCCCTCAGCATGCGGTGGCGGCTGCCTGGCGCCCGGTCGACCCTTCCTGCCAGTGTCGCACTCCTCCTGCTCCCCGTTCTTGTTGCTCCGCAGCAGTGGCATGAACCTCACCATGAGCTCTCCTCCACCGTTTCCGTCCCCCTCCGACCGACCGGTTTCACCTCCGGCGTTGATGCTCCCCCCTCTTTCGACGTGAAATCCAACGATGCGAGCGCCCTAGCAACCCTGGCTCTGGCCGGCTCTGGCCGCGCCGTTCGAGCCCCTCCTGCCCAAGCCAGTAGCTCTTCCGCTGGCCTGGCTCCGCAGCTTCACGCGCGGTCCCTGCAGGACTGGGAGGTTGAGGACTTTGTCCTGCTGGCGACCGTCGACGGTTCCATTCACGCACGCGACCGCAAGACCGGTGCCGCTCGTTGGGCCCTCGAGGTCCCGAGCAGCCCTATGGTCGAAAGCCTCTACCACCGAGCCAATCGCTCCAGCTTCGACCGTGCCCAACCCGAGGACGATTTCATCTGGATCGTCGAGCCGAGTCAGGGCGGAAGCCTCTACATCTACAGCTCGGGGCCGGAAGCCGGCCTCCAGAAATTGGGATTGACTGTGAAGGAACTTGTTGACGAAACGCCTTACTCAGGGACCGACCCGGCTGTCACTTATACGGCACGGAAGGAAACGACCCTCTATACCATTGATGCTCGCACCGGAAACATCATACGAGTCTTTAGCTCCAGAGGCCCAATCTCGTCAGGTCAGGAATGTCGTAAGGTCGATGGTCTGGATGTGGATATGGAGGAATGTGAGTCTCCTTCGGGTACTCTAGTTCTTGGTCGTGTCGAATACACGGTAGCCATCCAGAACACCGAAACCGGTGATCCGATCTGCACTCTCAAGTACTCGGAGTGGACGGCCAACAACCGGGATATGGACCTCCAGAGCCAGTATCTCCGCACAATGGACCAAAGCCATATCTACAGCATGCATGACGGTGTTGTCCTCGGCTTCGATCATTCCCGGATGGACCGGCCACGATACACCCAGCGATTCTCGAGTCCGGTAGTCCGCGTCTTCGATGTTGCTCGTCCAGTTAGCGCCGACTCATCCAATGACCCTACTCCGCTTATTCTACTCTCGCAGCCTCTGCAGCCTCCTGACCCCGACTACGGTACGCTTGACGATCGTGACGAACGAGTGTTCATTGATTATACTGAGGGTGGTGGCTGGTATGCCATGTCGGAGGCGACCTACCCGCTTGTCACCGGACGAGCCAAGATGGCCCAATGCTACGAAAAAGACTACCTCCGCCACGGTCAACCCCTGACGAGCTTGACCCCAAGGCAGCAACAAGATGCACTAGCAGGCGTTCATTCTCTGAACGGCCCACGCGTTGTCCGCCGTCACATTCCCAGCATTTCTGGCCCCTCGTCAGCCGATATGTCCAACGATACGCCTCGGGAGTTGATCTATAGCTCGTCCGATCTGGCACTGCCTCCTGCTCTGCGCCATAGCACCATCATACGGAAGGGCTGGGATAATGCCATTGATATTTTCGTGACGCTCTTGCTTCTCTTTTTCGGCACCTTCATCTGGTTCAATTCTCATCACATTCAGGAACTCGCCAAACAGAAGTTGGATCTGAAAAATATCATGGCCTCGTACGGACAGCCGCCCATGTCTACCCCGCCGACCCCAATCGTGGAAGGCCCTCATTTGAAACGCGAGGCCAGCCCCAACCGCATGGCGAATCTGACTGTCGATATGAATGTTTCAGATGAGCAGCCGCAGGGTGGTGATTCGACGCCAAGGCCCAAGAAATCTCAAAACTCTCTTGCGCCCGACACAACTCCACGCGTACGCATCCGGGAGCCGTCTCAAGGCCCAGATGGCGATGACGATGTTGACGAGCTCAATTTACAAGACGGCGAAAAGCCTAAGAAGAAGGCTCGCCGCGGTCGTCGTGGTGGCAAGAATCATAGGCGGGGCAAGAAGCCGAATAGCGACAGTGAATCGAGGGATCCGGCCGATCGTGTTGTTGAGGAAGTGAACAAGCTCCAACCTCAGTCTCGCTTGGAACCAGATGTACAGCTGACCCGGACGGTGTCGCATGAGATCATGGAAATGGATGGGGTTCTCCAGATCGGCCGTCTCAGGGTGTTCACTGACGTGGTCCTGGGACACGGAAGCCACGGGACCGTGGTGTATCGAGGCTCGTTCGATGGACGAGATGTGGCTGTCAAGCGCATGCTGGTAGAATTCTATGATATCGCATCCCATGAAGTGGGCCTGTTGCAAGAAAGTGATGACCATGGCAATGTGATCCGGTACTACTGCCGAGAGCAGGCTGCTGGTTTCCTCTACATTGCTTTGGAGCTGTGCCCGGCCTCTTTGCAGGATGTGGTTGAACGTCCATCAGATTTCCCGCAGTTAGTCCAGGGCGGCTTGGATTTGCCCGACGTTCTGCGCCAGATTGTGGCAGGTGTTCGCTATCTTCATTCTCTCAAAATTGTGCACCGCGATCTCAAACCACAGAACATCCTGGTGGCGATGCCTCGCGGGCGTACTGGTTCACGCTCCCTGCGACTGCTGATCTCGGATTTCGGCTTGTGTAAGAAGCTCGAGGACAACCAAAGCTCCTTCCGCGCGACTACGGCACATGCCGCAGGCACCTCTGGCTGGCGAGCCCCTGAATTGCTGGTAGACGACGACATGAGCCCGGCTATGCAGGGAAGCGAGTCCCAACACACCGAATCTTCAGAACCAGCTGTGGTGGACCCTCAAACCAATCGGCGGGCTACTCGAGCCATCGACATCTTCTCGTTGGGCTGTGTCTTCTATTACGTTCTGACGCGGGGCTGTCACCCGTTTGACAAGAACGGCAAGTTTATGCGTGAGGCCAACATTGTCAAGGGCAACTACAACCTTGATGAGCTGCAGCGTCTGGGCGATTATGCCTACGAGGCTGAAGATCTGATCCAGTCCATGTTGTCGCTCGATCCTCGACGACGGTAAGTCGATCCTCATTACATACCATGCTTGTACTAACTTTTCTAGCCCCGATGCGAGCGCCGTGTTGACGCACCCGTTCTTTTGGCCTCCATCTGACCGTCTCAGCTTCCTCTGCGACGTCTCGGATCACTTTGAATTCGAACCGCGGGATCCTCCTTCGGACGCTCTTCTGTGTCTCGAGTCGGTCGCTCCACGAGTGATGGGCCCGGACATGGATTTCCTGCGACTGCTGCCACGGGACTTCAAGGACAATCTCGGCAAGCAGCGTAAATACACGGGATCGAAGATGCTAGATTTGCTGCGAGCCCTCCGGAACAAGCGCAACCATTACAACGACATGCCGGAGCATCTCAAGGCACACATTGGGGGCTTACCGGAAGGGTATCTTAACTTTTGGACTGTGCGATTCCCCAGTCTTCTCATGAGCTGCCACTGGGTCATTGTGGAGTTGCGTTTGACTCGGTCCGACCGATTCAAGCGCTACTTCACGGCGATCGACTAGGTGGTTGCCAACGTAGACGCTATCTACTTGTATATATGCATATGTAGATGACATGTTACTATTCCATGAGTGATACGAGTCTTCCTTTTCTCTAATCTGATTTGTTGCTGTAAACCTGAATATCTCGATGCATTCTGACTGTGCGCGGGGTGATCACGTGCCTCTAGTCTAGTGACTGGGGAAGCCCTCAGCGATGAGTCATGAAAAGCGCTGATTGGCCCCAGGCGCTTATCTGGAAGCAGCCTAGCGTCCCCGATGTCGCTGGGCGGGAGTCACAGTCACGACCAGGTGTGATTCAGACTTGCCTAATTCAGCCAGCCAGTCCCATCGCTGTCCTTTATCAACATCGTCCATTCTTCTTCTCTTCTCTTCCAACCATCCATTCTTCACTACACACACGTCAAAATGAGCGGTAACAAGGCTGTCGCTGAAAACATGCTCTGGGGAGGTCGTTTCACCCGTAAGTACACTGATTACCCCTCAATGCCTCCCATTGGGACAGCGGCTAATGTTCACTTCCGGCTGCAGAGGGCCTCGACCCCCTGATGGTGCAGTACAACATGTCCCTGCCCTATGACCGCATCTTCTGGAAGCAGGACATTGCTGGCTCCATTGCCTTCGCCCGGGCCAACCACAAGAACGGCATCCTGACCGCACACGAGTTCGCTGAGATCGAGCGCGGCTTCAAGCAGATCGCCGAGGAATGGAGCACCAACACCTTCGTCGCCAAGGAGAACGACGAGGACATTCACACTGCCAACGAGCGCCGTTTGTCTGAGATCATCGGCAAGGAGATTGGAGGCAAGCTGCACACCGGCCGGTCCCGTAACGAGCAGATTGCCACGGACATGCGCTTGTGGCTGCGGGATGAACTGCGCAAGCTGGAGAGCTTCCTGTGCGATCTCGTCAAGGTCTCCATTGCCCGTGCGGAGTCTGAACTCGACTACATCATGCCGGGTTACACCCACTTGCAGAAGGCCCAGCCGGTCCGCTGGAGCCACTGGCTCCTGTCGCACGCGACCGCCTTTGCCAGCGAACTCCAGCGTCTGCGGGAGGTCATCAAGCGCGTCAACCGCAGTCCTCTGGGCACCGGTGCCCTTGCCGGCAACCCTTTCCAGATTGACCGTGAGGCCATGGCCAAGGAGCTTGGCTTTGATGGTCTGCTCTACAACTCGATGAACGCTGTGGCCGACCGTGACTTCGCTATGGAGACCATGCAATGGGGCAGCTCCTTCATGCTCAAGATCTCCCGCTGGGCGGAGGATCTGATCATCTACAGCAGCTTGGAGTTTGGTTTTGTCCGGTTGTCCGATGCTTACTCGACCGGCTCGTCGTTGATGCCTCAGAAGAAGAACGCAGGTCAGTGACAAAGATCACAATTGAACGCAATTTATACTGACTTTTTCAAAGACAGCCTGGAGCTTCTGCGTGGTAAGGCCGGTCGTGCCTTTGGCCAGATGGCCGGTCTGATGTGCACCATCAAGGGTCTCCCTACTACATACAACAAGGATCTGCAGGAGAGTGTCGAGCCCCTGCTCGACCACATCAAGACTGTCGGAGACAGCATTCAGATCGCCACCGGCGTCCTCTCCACCCTCACTACTATTCCCGAGAAGATGACCGCCGCGCTGGCGCCGGAGATGCTGGCCACCGAGATTGCCGACTACCTCGTCCGTAAGGGTGTGCCCTTCCGCGAGGGTCACCACATCTCTGGCCGTGTCGTTGCCCTGGCCGAGAAGCACAACGTGCCCATGGACACCCTGTCCCTGGAGCAGCTGCAGACTGTGGATGCCCGCTTTGATGAGGGCGTCCAGGCCTGCTTGGACTACGAGCGTGCTGTTGAACTGAAGGATGCCGTTGGTGGCACCAGCCGCCGGGCTGTGCTGGAGCAGACCGGTGTTCTTCGCTCATTGTTGTAGGCGTTTTTGTTTATTCTGGGATGGTTGGTTATGGCAAAAGTTAGCGATGCTCGGGATAGAGATTTGTATGATATCCATAATATTGATCTAGACATGATGATTATAAATGTCTCTCTGCTGTACGGTAGATGGAAATACCGGTCAGATCTATGTAGTGTGTAGTAGAACGACCATAAGTAGTAGTATCATCATACCAACAAACCAGCCGAACACCCCCTCTACTTAACATTGACATCCCACAACGCCCTCAAATCCCTCGGCACCCCCCTCCCCAACCCTCCCTTCGCATTCTCATCAACCTGATACACCCTCAACACACCATCCCCATCATGCACCAACGCACACCTATGCGGCACGCCCCTCACCACCTCAAACACCATCTCCAACACCCTAACCAGCTTCCGTATCTTCTCCTCATTATCCCTCTCCCACTGCTCCAGCCTCCCCTCCTTCTCCATATTCTGCGCCCTTGCCGGCAGGAACGTCCCATCGGGCTGATACTGCCCCGTACATAGAATCGGGGTGTGGGAAAACCACATCTGCTCTAGATTCTTCGAGTTGTCGAGGCGTTTACTCACTGGCCCGGTTTTTATCTCGATAATTCGGTGTGGGTGGACCAATGTTCCTGAATGTATTACCTTGATTCCGCTGGGGGGGGATTGATGATTGGTATTGGTGGGAGTATTTGTGAGATTGTGTGGTGGTGCTGGCGCTGGTGGTTTTCCAGGCATACATGCATCCACTTCATACCTCAGCAAGATATGTATCCCGCCGAGGGTATACCGCACCGCTCGGTTATGGATGATGCTCCCGCGCACGTAGCGCGGGTTCCAAGTCGCGGCTTTTTCGAAGGAGTGGCCGTACCCCTGGAATTGACCTACGAAGTTTGTCTTGCTGCTTGTCCAGAGGGAGAGGAGGACGGTAGAGTGGATTACTTCCACGTCGATTCGGAAGGGCTTTTTGCTCGAGCTGACGAATCCGAGGAGGAGGCGGAGGTTGCGCCGGTCGGTTATTAGGTCTGTTGTGGTGAGGTTCACTTTGGGTTTGCCGGTGGTGGTTGTGGTGGTGGTGGTGATGGCGCGGAGGAGAGGTTCCAAGGTGCAGTTGGGGAAGATGAGGCTGTTGGGGTCTAGGATGTATTTTCCTGAGTCCGGGGGGATGTGCATGGGGGTGGTGGGGGGTTTGTAGATCGAGGGGGTTCCTTGGTTTTTATTCAGTATTTGGTGGTTGGTTTGGGGAATACTGGGGATGAGGGTAGATGTAGATTGAGGGTGGGGAGAGTGATGGTCTACCTGGAACTACCATGCTCTTTTCCTTCTTGGGGAGGAGGTTATAGGATGTGATTGTTTTCAGGTCCTTCTTGGTGCAGCTGATATTGGGGTCGGGGTGGATGCTGTCTAGAGGGATTTCCCCAATGGGGAGGAGGAGGCCCTTAAGGAGGGGAGCTTTGGGCATGGTGCTACTTGGTGGTGATTGAGATGTAGTGGTGGTGGTGGGATATAGATGATGTTCGGGAGATGGAGTGAAAGCTCTACACTGGAGATAAAGGTGTAAGGTGTACGCAAGGCTCAATCTGTGATCTGGCCATGTTACCCCGCAGTTCAGGGGATACAACAACAACAAATCATGCCAACAAATCTGGAAGTGAATGCGAGTGGCTGTGTTGTATTTAGTCTGTTCTGAAATTTCTTTCTTTGTGTCAGCTTCAAGTCAGTACTTTGATAAGTGAAGCGGGTGGATGGGTTGGGTTAACGGGCGATTGTTGCTTATTTGCAATTGGGGCCCCTTTTCTTCTCCACTTGGATGGGGCCAGAAGGAGCTCACATGTTGTGACTTTAAACGGGGGTAGTGAGACATACATGGGTTGGTTATTGGTCATTAGGATTCATGTATGAGAGGATTATGAGAAAGCATTCGCAACATTTTCTATATATGTTAAGTTCATAGGATGGATTGTAATATATACTCTAATCAGGGTCCAGCGGAACGCCCGATGAATCGGACATTGATCGTGCTATTGCTCAGATAGGCTCTTTAGCCGCCTGGTGAAACACTGTACTGTCTAGATCCTGTCGCTACTACTATTCAGTCGTAATGACAAGCGCTGGGGATTGTTGGTGCCTAATGATCAGATAATTGATGTTACATTCACACCAGCAGCATCTGATATATAATGGGGCAGTGCTGAAGATCAGCCATGAAGTAATTTCCAGCGAGTGGGGCTCAAGGTGAAGTTCGTCTCAGATTCTAGCTTCATTTAAGGGTATGAACTATGGATAGGGCCAAAGTATCAGGTACAATATTAGTGGAAAGAGGTACAAAGTCAATGCAGACATGGCTCAATGAATCAAGTACACAAAGAACCCTAAAATATAAAGTTTTAAAGCGACCGGTGTAATAAGTACCACGGGACGATGGCGCATCTGGGAGCGCGTCAGACTGAAGATCTGGAGGTGGCCGGTTCAAGCCCGGCTCGTCCCATTCTTTTTTATCCCTTTTTTATTTTTTTGTTGTTTACCATCCGGTCCTATTTCTTTGTCTTTTAAGCCATGCCCCCTCTTCTTTTGCTTATCACCGTTCAATTGTAGACTAAGCTAGATTCTTTACAGCAATCCGTACTCAGATTGTATAGATTACCCCAAATTACTCCAACACTTTATATCATAAAAACACCAAACATACGATCATCCGCCCTACCACACTCAAGCAAGGAGATTTGATCTGTTCCGCCTGTCCCGATGCTTATCTTAGGTTAACTGTCAGGATGATCAGCGGTCCATTATCTCAAATAAGCGCAATGAATGGACCCTATCATCCTGTTTAGGGCCAAAGACGGGTACCTGGTAGGATCGCAATAATCATTCCATAATCAAAGGTAGAGCCATCGGGGCATCTGCTCGATGCAGTATCAAAGCGCCAACTCTCTACCGCGTAACGGTTCATCAGCACCATTGTCTCTTCCTAAACTAACCGATTGGTGGCAGGCTTGGTGGTAGCGCCGGAGGAACTCAGTCAGCGTTGGATGGCGATCCGGTCTAAATTTAGCTGGGGGGGGATCCGGCCCCGAAAGGGTCCAGCACCAAAGCCTGAGCCCAACCAACAGCCTCCTAGTCCCTTGTAGGCAAACCTGTGTGAATCAATCCATTGACACCCGCTTGGCACCTGCAAAGCCCGCCAACCAGATGGAGAAAAGCCGGGCCTCTTCCTCCGGCGCCACTCGCTCTGCCAACTTCATGTCCCCGTCAGACTTATATCCTGCGTGTGACACTCGTTTTCCTCCCGTCAACTCTTTCGCTACTCTCGACCACAGTTTGCTGCATCTTCCTATTTTGCCAGCCATTTGACGACATGTCAGATAGCACGCTGGTGTCAGTCGTTATCCGGAATCGCTAGTTATTCCCGTCATTCGTTCCCATTTATCTTCACTTCCCCACCCTCCCCTTAAAGTGAGACGTGAGAATGCGCTGGTCAACGTGCCTTACCAGCGCCCTCCTCGCGTCCACAGCACCGCTGGCCGCTGCAACCAGACTCATTGAATCAAATGCTCTGAATATCTGCCAGGATAGCAACAATTTTACTGCCACCTACTTCAGCGTCCGCTTCACTCCCGATAATCGTTCTTTGGTTCTGAGTTTCGATGGCGTGGCCGCCATCTCCGGCAAAGTCACTGCCGATCTTCTCGTCGACGTCTATGGCTACCAGTTGAATGGTGAGACGTTGGACCCATGTAAAATGAATATAGAGGGTCTCTGTCCGATGAGCGCGGGTGCCATCAAAGTTCAGGACACCCCAATCCAAATCCCGGAAGATGTGGTGCGCCGGATCCCGGGTCTGTAGTATCCCGCGCATTGATTCATCGTCTAGCGTTAACAATCTTGCAGGTATCGCATACACTGTGCCAGACCTTGATGCCACCGTTCGGGTTTACATCAATTCCACAGATACCGGCACCAGTATTACATGTCTCGAAGCGACCTTGTCGAATGGGAAAACAGTCTACCAGAAAGGAGTTGGATGGACGACAGCGGTGATCTCAGGCGTCGGGCTTATCGCTTCAGCTGTCGCAGCTGGTCTGGGCAACTCGAACACTGCTGCCCATGTCGCCGCTAACGTGCTGGCCTTTTTCAGCTTCATGCAATCACAGGCCATGTTCGGGATGATCTCGGTCCACATGCCGCCGATCGTGGAAGCATGGACCCAGAACATGCAATGGAGCATGGGCATCATCCACGTTAAGTTCTTGGATACCATTTGCACCTGGTACCAGAGGGCAACCGGTGGTACGCCGTCGACTGTCTTGTCGGAGCTCTCGACTACGTCTGTTGAAGTTCTCAAAAAGCGATCTTTGGACAGCGTTATCAATGTGTTCAAAAGACAATACGCTCAGTCGGAGACCGCCACTACCGGGACCACAGAGGTGCGGGGCATTGATCGTGTGGGATTCAGGGCCGGCATTGAGGGCACCAACATCTTCCTCAACGGCTTCATCTTCTTTGTCTTTTTCGTCGCGGTGGTGATGATCATCGTCGGGTTACTCAAGGTGGGAAGCCGCTTCCTGGCGAAGAAGGGAAAGACCAAAACCGACAAGTTTGGAGATTTTCATGTGTCCAAGGGAATCCTTTACCGACTCATTTTCATCGGATTTCCGCAAATGTGTGTTCTTTGTCTGTGGGAATTTACGCAGCATGATTCGGCAGCCGAAGTCGTCCTGGCGGTGGTTATGCTAGTTTCCATGATCTGCACGCTAGGCTGGGCTGCCTTCCGAGTCATCATCCTCGCACGGAGGTCGGTAGCAATGCATCGAAACCCAGCCTATATCCTCTACTCAGATGAGGCTTGCCTGAACAAGCTGGGATTTCTGTACGTGCATTACCGAGCCACCGCCTACTACTTCCTCGTGTTCGCGCTACTGTATATCTTCGTCAAGGCGATGTTCATCAGTCTGAGCCAACCAGCGCCGGTTGTGCAGACGGTGGCCATGGTCATTATCGAGACCTCGGCGCTTATTGGAATTAGTATCATGCGTCCGTGGATGGACAAAAAGACCAATGGCTACAACATTGCTATCGCATCCATCAACTTCTTGAATTCCATTCTGTTGCTTTTCTTTTCCAACGTCTTCGACCAGCCCGGCATCGTAACCGGTGTGATGGGTGTCGTTTTCTTTGTATACAATGCCGCCTTTGCACTGATTCTGCTCTTCCTTGTTCTTTACAGTTCTGTGTACGCCATCTTCTCCAAGGATCCGGACTTGCGCTATCGACCGATGCGGGACGACCGAGGATCTTTTGCCAAGTCGGGGAGCCAGTTGATCACGGAGCTTGATGCACTGGGTACGACTGCTCGGGGAGAGGGGACTCCGGAAATGTGGAACAAAGGCAGTCTGCTTGATGACACTGGATCTGTTGCCAGCGAGGGGGTGCATCGAAGTCACCAAGATCTGGCCCGGGACACTGCTCCTGGTCGTGAAATGACTGAGACGCCCGTCAGCCAGGCGAATTTGTTTCCCATCAGCCGAGGGAGCAGCCCTATTCATAGAGCGGCGTCACTAAATGCCGCGGGTGTGCGTCGCAGTCTGTTGAGTGACAGCGATAATGCATCTGCGACTCATCCGCATGCAAACCTATGATGGATCTGATGGATAGGACAACTGGGGCGTTATCTTACTTTAAAATGTATCTAAGTTATATTTTGCGCGTGCTAAATCTATTTGGTCTGGTTTTGACATACATGAACTGGTAGGTTCTTCTCTGCATGGTACCGCGCGGCACACCTCGGGTGTTGTGGATCTTCAGCGACGGGCTAACCCGACCCCCGTGGGGAATGCAGCGAACAGACCCTGTAGTAGACACCATCAGGCAATGCTCGGCATTTCCGGCTGTCTCCCGTCTCTCTTGCCGAGTCTCCTCTTTCCACTTCTTCTCCTCGTTGTCTCCTCTTTTCATCTTTAAGACCCATCTTTTTCGTTCCCTCGATCCACTGCCCACATGCCGATGTCTGCCAAGTCATGCATTGCAGCCCATCTACCAACCAGCCAACAGCACGATTACCTCGTCCCCACGCGCGTCATTTCCGTCCATCACCCCGAACCAAGTAACAGTGGAGAACCTGGGATATGCGTCATTGCTCGGAAGGATGATCTACCGATAACTTTGATCGTTGCTACCATCGGCTGTTATTGTACCGACTGAGCTTGATGGCCGATATTTAGCCGTGCAGGAAGCCAGTTTGAGACACCCAAGTCACAAGCTCATCACAATGTGGTCTTCCTGGCTGCTGCCGGCCTTACTGGCCACTGAAGCGTTGGCTGTACCTTATGAGGAGTACATTCTAGCCCCGAGCTCTCGTGACTTGGCTCCTGCGTCCGTTCGCCAGGTGAACGGTTCCGTCACCAATGCGGCCGCTTTGACCGGTGCTGGTGGACAGGCCACTTTCAACGGCGTCTCGTCAGTGACATACGATTTTGGCATCAATGTTGCTGGTATCGTGTCTGTGGATGTCGCTTCCGCCTCCTCCGAGTCCGCCTTTATCGGCGTGACCTTCACCGAGTCTAGTATGTGGATTAGTAACGAGGCATGCGATGCTACCCAGGATGCGGGTCTTGACACTCCGCTCTGGTTTGCTGTCGGACAGGGAGCGGGGGTGTATACAGTGGAGAAGAAGTACGACCGGGGTGCCTTCCGGTATATGACCGTTGTTAGCAACACCACCGCCACGGTCTCCCTCAACAGCGTCAAGATCAACTATACGGCTTCTCCCACGCAGGATCTCCGTGCGTACACGGGGTACTTCCACAGCAATGATGAACTTCTCAACCGCATCTGGTATGCCGGTGCGTATACCTTACAACTATGCAGTATCGATCCCACTACAGGAGACGCTTTGGTGGGACTGGGCGTCATCACCTCCTCTGAGACCATCACACTTCCGCAGACGGATAAGTGGTGGAACAACTACACCATCACCAATGGCAGCAGTACCTTGACGGATGGAGCCAAACGTGACCGGCTTGTCTGGCCAGGTGATATGTCCATTGCTTTGGAGAGCGTGGCTGTCAGTACCGAGGACCTGTATAGTGTCCGCACGGCTTTGGAATCTTTGTATGCTCTTCAGAAACCCGATGGCCGACTTCCCTATGCTGGAAAGCCATTCTACGACACGGTCAGCTTCACCTACCATCTGCACAGCCTGGTTGGAGCGGCATCCTACTATCAATACACTGGGGATCGCGCGTGGTTGACCCGGTATTGGGGTCAATACAAGAAGGGCGTCCAATGGGCGTTGTCGAGCGTGGACAGCACAGGTCTGGCCAATATCACAGCCAGTGCGGACTGGCTGAGGTTCGGCATGGGGGCACATGTAAGTATATACCTGGACATCAATGAGTGCAATGCTAATGAGAACAGAACATCGAAGCGAACGCAATCTTGTACTATGTTCTCAATGATGCCATCTCTCTCGCCCAGGCTCTGAATGACAACGCACCCATCAGGAACTGGACCGCTACTGCAGCCCGAATCAAGACAGTGGCGAATGAGCTTCTCTGGGACGACAAGAACGGCCTCTACACCGACAATGAGACCACCACCCTGCACCCGCAAGACGGCAACTCCTGGGCTGTCAAGGCAAACCTCACCCTCTCTGCCAACCAGAGTGCCATCGTCTCTGAATCACTCGCTGCCCGCTGGGGCCCATACGGAGCACCCGCCCCGGAAGCAGGCGCAACCGTGTCGCCTTTCATCGGCGGATTCGAGCTGCAAGCCCACTACCAGGCCGGCCAGCCCGACCGCGCACTCGATCTACTGCGCTTGCAGTGGGGATTCATGCTGGATGACCCGCGGATGACCAACTCGACCTTCATCGAGGGGTACTCCACGGACGGATCGCTAGCCTACGCGCCGTACACCAATACGCCGCGAGTGTCGCACGCGCACGGCTGGTCCACGGGCCCGACGTCAGCATTGATTATCTACACGGCCGGGTTGCGTGTCACCGGACCAGCGGGTGCGACCTGGCTGTACAAGCCACAGCCGGGCAATTTGACCCAAGTTGAAGCTGGGTTTAGTACCCGGCTGGGGTCGTTCGCGTCAAGCTTCAGCAGATCTGGGGGTAGATATCAGGAACTGTCATTCATCACGCCGAACGGAACGACTGGCTCAGTGGAGCTGGGGGATGTGAGTGGACAATTAGTCTCGGACCGGGGGGTAAAGGTGCAGTTAGTGGGAGGTAAGGCGAGTGGACTGCAGGGTGGGAAATGGCGGTTGAATGTGTAATGATTAGCAGTGAGCTGAATATATGACGACGTCGGTGTGATGCCTTCCTTCACTACGGCAATATAAATGTTGAGCTTTCTCTCTAATTTGCCCCCAATCCACACCTACAAATTATACTCAAAAACTCAAAATGAACCTCCTACTTCTCCACTCATCCCTCCTCCTCACCACCACCACAACAACAGCCACAACCCTCATCCCCGACCCAGGAAACCGCATCACCATCCCAACCTGGCACATCCAACCCACCAACACCAACACCACCCCAAACACACTCAACCTAAACCTCACCACCCCAGATTCCCACTCCACAATCCTCGCCACCCTCCTCCACTCCCGAAACCAACCGAACCCCATCATCCCCCTTACAACGAATCCGCCCTCTTCCACAGCACCGCCCTCTCCACCATCCCCACAACCCCCTTCCAATCCCCCTGACTCTACACCACCACCCTCACCCTGCCCCATTCCCATTCCTACACAAACACAAATACAACCATCATCCTCTCAACCCACGGCATCTCCTCCCGCGGGGACATCTTCGTCAACAATGCCCACATAGGTTCTATATCTGGGGCTTATAATGGCCAGGAATATGATATATCCCCACAGCTAAGAGAGGGGGTAGAGAATGAGGTGCAAGTGAAGGTGTACCCCGTGGATTATATAAGGGATTTTGGTATTGGCTGGGCGGATTGGAATCCTCCGCCGCCGGATAAGGGCATGGGGGTTTGGAGGGGGGTGGAGGTTAGGAGGGTATATGGGGTTGCGGTGCAGGGGTTGAGGGTGGTTGTTGGGAAGATAGAAGGAGGTAGTGGGGGAAAGGATGTGAAGGTGAGGGTTAGGGTTGGGGTGAGGAATTGGGGGGAGGGGGTGTTAGGGGAGTGTTTGGGGGGAGGGTGTTTGATAATTCTACTGATGATATTAGTTCTGGAGTGCAGTTTGCTGAAGCTGTCACTCTACGAAGGGGGGGAAGTTACTACACTTGAAGCAGCTGTTACCATCAAGAATCCAAAGATATGGTGGCCGGCTACCTGGGGAAAACAGGACATGTACACTGTCTCTGCGAACTTCACCCTCAATGACGGAACATTATCTGATACAGCGGAATGCTCATTCGGGATCCGGTCTGTCACAGCTACATTCACCGACCACGGAGACGAAAAAGACGTCTCGTTCAATGTCAACGGTTACCCCTTCCACGTCCGAGGCGCAGGATACAGTCCTGACATATTCCTCCGGTTCGATATAAACCGTGTACGCACACTCCTACAAGCTGTGCTCGACATGGGCCTCAACACGATCCGACTGGAGGGAAAACTCGAACACCCACAGTTCTATGATCTGGCTGATAGAATGGGTATCATGGTGTTAGCGGGATGGGAGTGTTGCGATAAGTGGGAGGCGTGGGAGGTATACCCTCCCTTTCTATACCCTAACCCCTGACCCAGACTATTGTCATAGAGTATACTAACTGTCGGCTGGAATTCATCTTTCTTTAAAACCCGACCCAATCCAACACTACTTGTGGCATCTTGAAAAGTTGAATAGCTTCATAAAACGTGCAACGCGTGGACAGCTCAGGGGATGCCTTAGTTTAGTTTACTATAGCTAGTGTAGTAGACGGTCAAACATGCGCACGGCCCCTTCCGACAAGGTGTCCAAATAACTTTTCACATCCCACTGTAATCATGGGTTGAGTCCTGGATTTTCGGCCCGTGGTCTGATAATTCGGATTAGGACTAGTGGCTCGGGTGGCGCTATGTTTAATTGGAAGTATCGGCCGATGTAAAATCAACAAAATAAAAACAATATTTGGAAATTAGTACTGAACTGCTGAAAGCTGGCTTTATCTTATACCAAAAACTCAAAGTCTAGAAGCAGGTTTTGTGGTGTGACTCAATACCTGTATTTTCCCTAATAGATTAAAGTATAACGGTCAGGTATAGCCACTCTACTGGTAATCGCAGAAGAGTCTCAATTTAACTAAGATAAAATATCTAGCTGATATCAGGAATTTCCGAAGACCAAGTAGCAATATATGCCGCACTTGGCAGAAAGGCCAATGTTCTGAACATCTCGACAATAATGAATAATCTCGCCATAATGTAAACAAGAGTCGATGGAATTAGCAGCTTTGCATTGAACCATGAAAGCGGAGGTGCACAAAGTCGTATGAGCCGGAGGAAGCTAACAAATGCAAAGATTCGGTTATGGCGGTGTTGCGGCGGAGCTTGTGATTCTTCGTCTTTCATAAAAACCGAAGGCAAGGGTCTCAATTTCTCTGACTCCTGAATAGGGTTCTTATTTGAGCTGAGACCAAGTCCGGCGTCTATATCTGTCTTCAGATTTGAGACAACGTGCAAGGGGATGGCGCTCGAGACTGTGGAGGTAGCGTCTTCGGTTCCGGTATCCCCAGGTGGAGAAATGTTGGACTCTTTTTGCGAGAGAAGTAAGATGTTCTGGGCTTCATAGAGTCCGAGAAGTACAAAAAAGAGCAATGTACATGGTACAAAGCTAGCAGTACAGCACATTGCAGCCACCCGCCAAAGGTATTCCTCCACTGTAGTGGGGAACTGAAAATCCCAGGCCATAAGATGAATTCCTCCAAAAACCGTACCGCCGATAAACATAGTCATATAGGTGAGCACACCATTAGTATCGTTCAAGTCTTTAGTGAATCCATTGCCTGCCGGATCGCCTGGTCCCGAGGTGCCTTCGATGAAGTATTGGATTCCAATTATAGTGTGAGTCACTTTCCCCCAGAACGCGTTCTCAGTAACTGCGGGAGTTTCTGTCTCTTTGCTTCCACTACCTTCATTTGTCTCATGGCCCTGGCTGCTAATGGCGTCGGAATGAGAGATAGCCAAGTCGTGACTGTCTTCGGAACCATGGTTTCTGTTATTGTTCTCACTGCTAGTTTGTCTGGTGCTCTTCGTATTGTCCCAAGTTATGCCCGTGCCATTCTCTGCGTTGCAGTACTTGCATTTGTAGAACTTCCACTTCTTATGTGAATCATCGGGAATGGGCAATTGAGCAGTCGCAAGCTCTTCCTTCAATTCCTCCCTCGTTCCATAATAGTTGAAAACAATTGGAAGATTGACACCCTTGGGCTTCCCATTATTCATTATATGAATTCCCACTGCACATACTGCAAAGGCCACCACGGTGACTTCCAACTGGGTCACAGCCAGGCCATATGTTGCTCGCGATATAATTTGAATAATCACCCAGAGGATCTGTCCGATAGCGAGGATCCGCATGAATGAATCTGTTTTGGACCGGTCCTTGATTTCCTCCACGGATATATCCTCTAGCCCAGGTATAGTCGTGTTTGTGCTGCACATAATCTTGAGAGCCTCGGTAGCTGTCAGGTAGTAAATATCTTCGAACTTCTGTGCGGGATTCTGTATGATGATATTCGCTTGCTTTCCCTTTTCTTTTCTTTGTCGGGCAAATATTGAAGTGAATTGTTTCCATTGATTCGAGCCCCCTTGTATCGACGTCTCGTTTTCTGCAGGGGCGGCCACATCAGGCTGGATGTTATTTCGGGTTTCCGGATTCTGTTCTCCCTTGTCTGAGCCCGATGTATCCTTCTCATCGATAGTGTATCGCAGCGCAAACCCTCCCATATTTACAAACAGAACATGAGTTTTTGTCCAATTTTTTTCTTCGAAGTTCTGTTTGTAATGCCAAAAGATTGAATGCGCTTGGACCTGGTCATTCCAGTACTTGGCGAAAGAAACTTCCGGGGCTAGTACAGTAATTAGGAACCATATAATTGGCTGTTGATACTTGCCAACCATCCATTTCAGCAGGTCCTTGGAGCCGCTTGTCGTCGGTTTTGGTCTATATTTCGGGATATTGAGATGAAGTACAGTCCAGGTACAGGCGAGGATGGTGAAAAGAGAAGACCATAGAATTTGCAAAGTGCCACGGGTGTTCGGCGCTGTCACGAAATTGGCGTGTTGGGGTGGAAGAGTGCAATTTGTGTGGACTTTATTGAATGCTTGTACACTGGGTGCTAGAAGAAGAATGAGAAGATAGCCCATAGCCCAAGGAAGCATTCCGAGCATGGTGTGTGGTCATAGAACTCTGCAAAGATTAAATATCAAAGTATTGAGTGTGATGTCTGCCCAACGTCAGCAGATGAAGGGTTTGCACCTCTGCCATGGGGCCAGAGACTCTGGATGCGGAGATCCCATTAGCTTTTTATAGTTGATAAGGCCGTCTCCTTCGAAGTTATTGGTGTCAGTGGTAAAGAATCCCCTCTTCGGGCATGATTTTCGCGATAGGGGTTCTCGCATGCAGCTATAATCCTGCTCGTCTACGTACGAACTGCTGTATGGTTATTTGATGCGGGGAGCATCTGATCGGCAAACGGATCGGGCCTCATGAAATGAGACATGTCAAATGCTCCCCTGCCTTCTAGCTATATTCTAACTTCAGCTGTATCATTTATCCCCATCTCAGCTCTGCTGGTTAACTAACCAATCATCCGTGTGTCTTTGATTAATAAATGATGTTGGTCCCAGATTGTCTGCGGCTCGATGTACTATATTTAGCCTTGGGTAGAAACTGACAAGGATATGAAGGGTTTACCATCTACGAGAAAGTCATGCTGAATTATAAGGGCCCTACTCAGTTAAGACCACTCAAGGTCGTGATTGGTTGGATTCCACAAATTCCAAATCATAGGCATGCAGCGCTAGTAGTTGTGGAGAAATCAAGATTTCTACCATCTACTGTGTAGTCACGAAAGAGTTCTCGCAGCCTCATTTCATATGTACGAGTAGATACTGGAGCTTCATTGGTCGGAGTTTTTCGGGAAGATATGGTTGGATCACCGGCGGGCCAAGTGCAGAGGACATGTAGGTGGGTCACGATCTTGTGTGAACTAGTAATCTTTCCTCAACTACCATCCCAGTCACGGACCGATATGCACTCTCCTCCTCAACAAAGTCGAGCACTTGAATTGATACATAGTAATAAGCATCATGGAGGATTTCTTGAATGTAGGTCGGCGCCTGCACAGTAAAGGAATAAAAGGGCTAGCTGATGCAGTGATGTTCCTTATCGGATAGCCACGAACTGTATGCTTCCAGGGCTATAATGGTCAGGCTTTATGCATAAATACAAACTATGTCTGATTTTTTACTGCCGAATTTGCACGAAAATTTCTCCACTACCTTGTTCGATTTAGCCCTCGGAACTGGTTTCTTTTTTGAGTCGGGTGTCAGGCGCATGATTAATAACGCCAATTCCTACTCCGCTAGTTTTGTATCCGGCCCCTTTTTTTGGCCCTTCCGACAACTCGAAATTTAGTGATATCAAGAAGAACCTTGCAAGGCTTATCCTGTATCTTATCCCGAGTATTACCTGTATAGCAAGTGTAAATGTCCGTATTTTCCTGATAGCTGCATACACCTGTAACAAAATCGGCCGCTCCGATCCAATTGGAGTTTTATCAAAAACGGTCCAAACTTCCTCTTTCGGACAGATTGAGATTCTCCGCGGCCTGCCATGTAGAATAGGTAGCCCGACTTTTTTGGATGACATTCCCTGATGAAAGGCGTCTGGTATAGTGCTGCACCTCACTAGAATTATCAGTTGGTAGTTATGAAACTAACAATTATATCAATAGAAGTATCAAAATATGAGTCTATAAGCCCTTCTGACTCTCTGGCAGGCATTAGTGTACAAACTCAACATGAGGCATGCTCAAAAGATGATGACTTCCTACTAGTTTCCTCCCGCTGGCATTCTAAGTGACATATCATCAATCCTAATTTGCTCTCAGCAGGCTACTTGCTTAGTCTTGCTATTTGTGGCATCTGTCTAGCGAATGAGGTTTTTTTAAAAATTCCTCTTCTGTTGCTCAGTATGCGCCATTTGCATCTGTCAGCCCGTATGCTGACATTTTCAAGGGATTTTTTCTGATTGCGATGACAAGACAGCGGGGATCACCGCCCCTCCGCAGAAGAATAGCGTGTATTTGGTGGTCTTCGCGCGATGGGCTGCATAGTTTAGCACATAGGTCTATAGAGATTGACGGCTATTTTGGATTACATATCTAACAAGAGGATGTCTGAGGGACAAGGTAAAGGCGGTTTGGTAAAGGTTGATTTTGTATAGAGGGTGGTTGCGGGTATAATAAGACTTACTATTTTTTGCTAATTTAGAGAATGCAGCCAGCTGCAATAACTTACTTGAGTTATTATAATATATCATACTAAGAGACAAGATTACTAAAGCTGTAATTATTTGCTTACGAAGTATGTTGCCCCCCTTCGCGTGGCTCTCATTGGACTGGAGATTTTAGTGAAGACGCGCCCCCCTGTTAGTCTCAAGCAAATACTGTACTGACTGGCTCACTCTTTCCAATTGGACAGGAATCACCCACCAAGCCTGTACCAAGGTATCGGTGATCACGCATTTTCTTTTTCCTCCAAGTCCACCATCCCAGCCCGTTTGCCTGTCCAAATCTCTCTTGAAGACGAGCGGGGTGGTGGGTATTCTGGGCACTTGGGGGTTGTACCGCCCTGGACAGGTCAATTGAGCACTTGATTAAAGTGCTACTACTGGATGACTCCAGCAGCCAACTCCTGAGCACCCAGGTACTTCTCCAGCGGACTTTCACTGGCAGTTGTAATTCTATTGACTTCATCATCTCTAGTGTTGGATAGGGTCGGGTTGAACCCGCGGGGTATTCGGTCAGAGCAGGTTATTAGGTCGGGTTTTCAGAAAATCAAATACTATCCCACGGATCGGGTCTAAGTTCTTGCACCTGATCCATGGGGTAAGTTTTGATCTTGGCCCCAACCCGCCAAGCTTTGGGGTTGGGTTCTGATTTATCTACCTGATCCATGGAACAAGTTTAGAGATCTAGACCCGATCTGTCTATCAGGAAAAATACGGGTATTGGTAACACTGCAAAAGCTGACTCAACACTTTGAGCTTTCAATAGTAAAGTAGCCAGCAGCAGGATGCAAGATGCTACATGATCGATGCTGAGCGGCTGCTCCGCCTCCGAGGTTTGCCAAAACAACTTATCTCTCAGAAAGCACGCCTTCTACACCACACATATACTTGGCTACGAATGGTAGGCGAGAGCGCTTACATTTTACATAACTACACGTTGGGTCCATTTTCTTGTATCAGGGCCAGGAGATTGGCATGCGCAATTTTTCGCTAGAATAGGGTCCCGACGGCAAGTATGAAGACATTGGGTCAGTCAATCTCTGGAAGAAGTTAAAATAGCTTTATTCAATTGTCTACAAACTTGACTAAGACTCAAGAAAGGCCTCGCCAAAGCCCGCGGGTTGGCAAACTAGACAAACACTGGGAAGTCAGTAGATTGCATAAGTTATACAGTTTTAGCTGTATTTTAGAGTATTATATTTACATCCAAAGTAATCCTGTACAGAAGATATCTAATGATACAAGAGTTAATGACAGTAGAAATACGAGAATTAGATTTAGCTATATATATTATACACTTAATACAGGATGAACTGATTATTGTTATAACACGGACGCTTTCTGACTCTGTCTGATAGTTATAGCTGAGTATCTGGTAAAGGATTATTTTTATTATTATTATTATCCTTCTCCTCTTCAGTTACCAGGACTATCTGATTCTTATTGTATCAGAAGTAATACTGTCAAACCTTAGGATCGCTTCCCTGTCCCGGTTAGCTTAGCTTCACCGGTATACGTACCGTCGAACTGGGTCGAGGGGATATCAGGCTAATGACTATCTAAGGACAACTGGTCTTGGACAAGAGAAGAGAAGTAAGGCCGAATAGTGCCGCGCAGCTATTCGTAAGTAAGTGCGGACGAGTGTTCTATCACTAAGCTTCCGAATGTATGGTTACTTAGAGTCAGTATTATTGGGCCGCCCGACACTAACAGAAGATACGATAGTACAACACCAACCTCTCAGAAAACTACCCTTGGACAAACACAGACTACCTAACCGCCACCTCAATGCTCACCCACACAGCCCTCCTTCTCCAACCCCACCCCTGCATCCTCGCCTTCCTCCTCGGCTCCGACTACCCCCCCAACCCCCGCGCCACCACCCTCTACACCGCAGCCCTGAACCACTCCGACTGGACCGCCCCCATCATTTCCTCCGCTTCTGCCCGCATCCACCCCTCTGTAATGAAAATGCTCGGCCCGTACGACTGGGTCCCCCCCAACTATTGGTACGGGGAGCGCCTTGGCGCAGCATACGGCTTCGGCTCAGAGCAAGGCGCGGGTGTAGGGACTCCCGAATTACCCAGTCTGCGACGGTTTCTCTCCGAGGAAGAACTATCTAGTCTGTGGAAAGACAAGAATGCAGAGATGTATCATATGTCTCCTGCTGGATCGCAGTTCCATACAAGGGGGGTGTATAATGCTGCGCTGTGGGGGAGATTCGGCAAGCCGACGTCGTTGGAGGAGTATGTGTTTCTGGCGCAGGTGATGGATTTTGAGGCTACCAGGGCGGAGTTTGAGGCGTTTGCGGTGAGGCAGAATAGACTTGGTGCTGATACTACTACTACTACTACTACTACTACTACTACTACTACTACTGGTGGTGGAGGGGGTAGGGCGGCGACGGGCGTGGCGTATTGGATGCTGAATAGTGCGTGGCCGAGTTTACATTGGCAATTGATTGACTATTATCTCAAGAGAGGGGGCGCGTATTATGGGGTGAAGGTTGGGGGGGCGTGCATGTTGCGGTGGATTATGAGAGTGGGGAGGTGTATGTGGTGAATCATGGTGTGAAGAGGGGGGAGGGAGGGTGGTTGTTGTTGATGTGTTGGTTGGATGGGAAGAGGTTGTATAATGAGGAGGTGAAGGGTGTGGTGATGGGTCCGACGATGGCGAAGAAGGTTACGTCTATTGTTCCTTGGGTTGGGGGGTGGGATGGGGTGGTCTTTCTGAGACTATTGTTGAAGGAGAGTGGGGAGGCGTGCTGAGTAGGGATGTGTATACCCTCCCTGCGAAACTTGATGTTCTGAATTGGGATGATTCGACATGGTATACGACGCCTGTTAGTGA